ATGTTGCTGGGGGGTTTGGTGGGGGGGGGGGGTGTCTGTGAATGTATGTGGGGGTGGTTGGGTCAGGTTTGTTTGTAATCAAACCAGTCGCTACTCCCCAACTGCCAGCACATCTCTGTCAGGTGTGTGTGTGTGTGTGTCTTGGCCAAACACGATTGGAAGTTGTGCATGTGTTGCGTGTGTGCAGCAGTTAACCAACCTGATAAAGGCCCTTTTGTGGTTTTTACACAAGTCCTAACATGTTGTTTAGACCACATCCTCTCTCTCTCTCTCACTCTCTTCCTCTCGCTCTTTTTCTCTCTCGCTCTCTCTCTCAATGGCCCACTCACCCAACACTTCTTTTACTGCCCTCCAGCCACGACTTTCCCTCACCCCACCACCACCACTGCCACTTCTCCCCTTTCTGCTCCCCCCTTCAGCAGCACACTGGGTTTATTTGTGACGCATTATATTTCCTGTGTTTTTCTCCTCCACCGTTTCCCTTGTTAAAGTCAGGCTGAGCTATGCTGCTACTGTTTTAATTAGAGCGGCAGTAGCAGCAGCCCCTTCCTCCCGTGTATGTGTGTGTGTGTGTTCTCGCTTCTCCGAGGGGGGTGTGTGATTTGGAGCTTCCTGTTTCAGCAGCTGTGCATGTCTGTGTATAACTGTGTGTGTTTACGTGTGTGTGCGTACATGCAGCAGCATCGGTCCATGCCTTCCCACTTCCCCCAGGCTCCCCCGCAGACCGCCACCACATCCTATGTTTGTACAGACAGCACCGGCCAGGAGCGTTGCTCTGCTTCACACATAGAGCATGTTAACGACCACACACACACAAGCTCACACGGACTAATGCACAGAAATACGGAGAAACACGCAGTCAAAAATAGCTTTATACACAAATGTGAGCAGAAATTCATTGTGGGCAGATGTGAAAGCTGGAGCTTGTAGACCAGGAGCCCACACATCGCCTATGATGTACTTTCACAGTCTAAGATAGAAATGTGTCATTGCTGTTAACGCTGTCGTGTTGTGTAGCGGCTAACAGAATTTAAAGCTGCAAAGCAGGAGCTTCTGTCGCCGCCAAGAGGAATTCTGAATAATTACCAAAATACCACTGGCGCCTGTACATCGGTGCAGATTTCAGTGGTGGTGAGTTATAATTGAGGGGTTACACAGCTTCCATACGATACATGCTGCACAGCAGTGTGGAAGGAATGCAGGCCACTGTTTTTGTCATGCCAACGAAATATGTAACATATTTTAAATATTGCATCCTTTTGGATTCATAAAAACACAGCACGTGATGGTAAATTGTCCGTTATGGTAGTGCCATGAGCTCCACCTTGATGTTGAGAGTGACCGGGGAGTTGTATCTCAGCTATTGGAAAGGTGTAAATTTGAGACGCATCATTAGTAGTGTACCTTTGAATCACGGCGTGTTTTGGCTTTTCAACACTAGACACAAGGTGGCAAGCTACAGGGTGATCAAACCTGAACTTGTGTTCCTTATTAATTATAGCTAATTTATGAATATAAATTTGTGTTAATTATTTTTAATGATGTGTTTTAATGAGCTATGGAAACTTAAAATATAAAATCTCAACAGATGGATTGATGTCGTTATTTCATAAAAAATCTAAAAGCAGTAAGTAGTTGTTGCCTCACTGAGTAACTAAGAAAAATATATTAAATACTGAAGTTTTCATGTTTTTAATAAAAGTTTAAGTTTGTGTAGAAAATAACAGAACCTTTTTTTTTTAAAAAAAAGTGATGTCATTCTCTTACACTGATAAAACGGCTGGACCAGTGTAGACACAGTGTGTTGGCTGCGGTTATGTTAATGTTACTGCTGCAGAGCAGGAGTATGATGGAGACTGGTGGCTGTCTGCTCACTGCCTGGATACATCAGCGTAGGAAACCTTGCTCTATTTATCGATCAATATGTCAGCTTGAATTACAGTCGATAGGAATGATCACATTATTGACTGATAATTTATCAGCAGCCGATAACGTTGCGCACCCTTGGTGAAAATATGTCCGAACTGATAATTTTTTGCTCCACAGATCTTTCAACAGGTGGATTTCAACAAGAAGCCAGGGAGAATGAGCAAGAAACCTATCAACTTTGCAGTCATCCTAAAGCTGAGCAAAGTCAACCTGATGGAGAAGGCCTTCAAGGTTGGAAAGTGTTTTATCTTTACTTCATTTTAAGACTTTTGCCTCACCACCGCTCTGTGCCTCAGGTTTGGTTGCACTCAGAAGTTTCAGCAGCAGCAGCTGATGACATCTGTGTTTCAGGTCTTCAGTTAATGTTATTTTCATGTAATGCTCAGGGAGTCTGTGTTTGTGTGTGTTAGCCTCTGTGTGTGTACTTACATGAGGGAATTGAGGCCAGTGATGAAAACTCCTTGTCAGAACTCTAAAACTGGCCTGGTGTCACCCTGCTCTGAGCTGCAGCCAAGAGGATTGCCGCACGGCCTTCTGGGATAATCCCTCACACTCCGTCTGCTTAGGCTGTTTTTACTGGAGTTGTCTGGACAGCTGCCACAAAACTGTGAATCATGGCATACGTAACTAAATACAGATATTCTATAAAAAAGATTCAAATCTATTTGCCAAGAGTGAAGAAGGCTCCTGCTCAGTGAGATTTGTAAAGATTATTTTGTTGCCTTTCCTGACTGATGGATTGCTCTGTCATAGCCATAGTGTTTCTTTTTTTCAAACATTATATATTGAAATCTCAATCATGTCTTGCAGCCATCCGTGAGAAAAGTGTCTCGGAGGGAAATGGTATAAAAATACACTTAAGTAGGATTTATAAAGGCTGTACAAAAGTAGACTTCCGGTGTTTTCCTTTGATGATGGAAAGAAGCACAGTTGAGAAAAGAAACTGGTGGACAGTTTAAGTTGTACTAATTCTAGTGCTAAGTCAGTATCATCTGCATAGAATTATATTATTATTATTTTTTATAAGATGGACATCCTGTTCTTTGTAGCTGTAGAATTATCCTTCTTGGCTCTGAGGAAATTAAAATGATACAATGGTAAATATTTTTTTAACCTGCAGGAAGGACTGATTGACCAGCTGTATGATGTGATGCTGGAATACTTCCACACTCAGGCTTCCACCATTGGCTTCCCAGAACTCGCCCTGCCCACCATTATTCAGGTGAAACTCATCAGAATACGACTTGACAGGAATTATAATCTGTCCGTGTGAATCAAAACAGCTGTCTAATTCATACAAACAGGAGTGTCTGTGTTCCACTTAAATATTCAGTCTCAAAGATGTTTATTTTCAGTTTGTTCACTCTCCTGTGTTTTTGTAGCCAATTTGTTACACATTAGAAAGCTGCCATGACGCGGCAGTTAGCTTCCTCCCTTTTCCCACCAAAACAGCAACAGCAGGGCGAGGCTGTCAATCACAGGCAGTATCTACTCTTCTGTTCAAGGTTCCACTGTGGCTGCCGTTTTCATCTAAATCTGATCACATTATTAAGAAGTCAAAAAGTCACCTTTCCTAGTGAAGAAGACCTAAAACTAGTAACGAGGAAAGTTTCTTCTCAGTGTAATAGATGTTAATGGTTTTATTTACTTCTTGTATACATTTATCTTGGGTGACTGTCAGACAGGTGTCCCTGTTCACTTCCCTTTTTGCTGTTTTTGAAGGTCTTATTCAAATTCTGCATGTGGTCACATAGACCTAAGCAGAGCTCCGTGGACACAGACGTGGAAAGTCTACGTTGGGCTTTTTTTTACACACACACACAGCATACACAAACTCACTCCTCTGTCCATGTCCCTGCAGCTGAAAGCCTTCCTGAAGGAATGCAAAGTGGCCAATTACTGCAAGCCCGTACGCCAGCTGCTGGAGAAGGTACAGGAGAACAGCAACCACATCACAGTACGGAGACAGAAGGCCGCCTTCGGAGTGGCCGATGCAACCGCTGTGGTAAGAGTGTGTGTTTGTGTATATGTGCGTGAATGTGTGTACGTGCTTGTGTGTGTGTGTATGCATACACATGCACGTTCTTCGTTTGCCTGTCTGTGTAAAAAAGGAAGATGGGGAAAAACTATCTGGTCCTGGATTTAGACTCACATTTTAGAGTTATTTTAACTTTTCCATTCATTTGCATATCGGTCAGTTTGATTTTTTTTTTTTTTTTTTTTTTGGGAGTGTGTGATTGTCTTTTAAAAATGTTATTTCTCTTTTAGGGCTTTCCCTATGATTTGTGATTTTTAAGCACTGGGAAACTAATAATAAAGGCAGACATGTAGAACTTGACACTTTCATACAATTAAGATAGATAATACAACATTTAGTACAAAATTAGAACTAAAGTCTGTTGTTTTGCTGGTAAAATTAAACCTTTTTGAACAGCTAAACCTAATTCCTTTTCTTAAAACACAAACACAATTACAAGTTGATGAATAGAATAATGTAGTTTGGACAAAGTCAAAGTTGGACCAAAACAAAAGCTGTTTTTTAATTGGTAAGTTTTGTATAGCAGGATTCAATTCTAAAAGCAGTGTCGGCCAAATGGTTCATGACTGGGTGCTGAAATTAAAAATGACAGAATTCTCACCTGAACAAGTTACAGTTTGGATTTTGTTGATATGGAATAAGTATAGAACTGAAGAAGAGGAGAAACAGACGATGACAAGCAGCTCTGATCTTTAATACCAATTTGTTTTACATTGCCAGGTTTTCATGAAAAGATGTTGCTGTGGTTTCTGTGTTTCATATGACAGCAAATCAGCTGCCATGTTATTTGACTAACAGCCCTGTCACTGCACAAAAACGTTGTGATCTTTTAGAAGCCTTAATTATTAGCTCTGTGTGTGTGTGTGTGTGTGTGTTAACAAAGTATAACAGGCAGACAGAGGTGGCACAGAGCCAGGTGCCAACACCAGCAGGGATACACTTGCGGAGGCTGTCGCCGTGGCATCCACTGCCTGACATGATGTCATGGTAGAGGTGTCACCACAGGCAAGAAGAGGAAAGATCTGCTGCTGCAGCAGAAGAAGAAGAGGCCACGACCTCCTTCCTGCAGTCAGCAACCCCCCCACAGACATGTCACCTAACCCCAGAGCTGCTCTAATTAATTCAGGGCACAGTGGTGTGCGTTTGTCGTCAGCTTTCCTGCGGAATCTTTTTGACCCCATTCAGACCTAGAATTAACATCTGCCCTGAATGATCCTCCGATGGATGAGTGTTCACATCAGACCTTAAAATAAGTCCTGGACAGTTCTGCTGTGACCACATGAGATCGGACCTGAGTTCTTCTTCTCCCCATACAAATACACACTGATGTCATGTCTGTCCGGAACAAATTTAGATCTCACATAAGTGACTATGCAGCTGTGTTCACTGTCAGTGTGTTATTTTGAGTGTGTGTCTGCAGACGTAGAGAGAGGGTCAGACGGAGAGGGAGGTGTGTATCAATCACAAGTCTTTGACTGTTATTTAGTATTTCAAGAAACATAGTTGCAGTGGGTCAGAGGAGCTGAGGAAGTGGTTATTCCAGATTTAACACAAGAATATTTTGCAGACACTTTTAAGACTCCTTAAAATTAGCTTTCACATTTTAGCATTCTGTGCTAATTCTTTTTAGCACCAACTGTTTACAACTGTAAAAATGGGTTTTACCCTTTAGTTCATGTTAATCTAATCTCTCTTGATTGTCTGAAATGTAACTGGCACAGAATTAAGGCTGGACCAGGCAAAAGGTAATTCTTTATCCTGAATCTTTTCAAGTGTTTTGCAAACCTCTACTTACTTCTAACCCTTCTAACCCATTTGGACCTGATCCTGGACTGGGCCTTATGTCAGTGAATCACTCCATTCTAGATAAATCCAGCCTCTGTTTTGTTTGTCTGAGTGTTGACTGAATTCACAAACAGCTGCTCTATTTTTATTTATTTTTTTTTTTAACACTCTAATCTTTTTTTCTCTCCCAGAGCGACCATGTCACCAAATGCAATAGGCACACAGTAAACTGGTAAATGTGTTAAGGTAATGGGCGCAGCAGGCCAAGGTCTGTTCACTCTATTGAATTTGTCGGTCAGATAATATGATTGGACCTAATCAATACCATCCACAAATACCTTTAGGGGGAGGCTGTGGAAGATCCGCTGGTCTACCTTCTCTCATGCTTCCTCTGTGTTCTCTTTGTGTGCGTTTGTTTTGGGGTTTTTTTCTCATTTTTAATCTTTTTTGTCTCATTTTATAAGACACTTCGGTGTAGAAAGATGATTTTAAAGCCACTTTTAACCTGCAAAAATGTTTCCCATGGTTACTTCTAAGTACCTGCTACATACGTCCACACCTGAACATATTCTCCAGAGGTTTTATTCTCCATGTTTCTCTACAGGTGGCCTGGGAGAAGCAGGTCCAGGAGGAGGGGACGCCTCTCAGCAAGTACTACACCCAGTGGAAGAAGCTGAGAGAAAAGGAGATTCAGCTGGAGATCTCTGGGAAAGAAAGGGTAAATACCTACTATTACTTACCCCATCACATTGGCGTTACTCGGGAGAATTCTGATCTAGAAATCATGAAATATCTCTCTTTGCAGTGAACACATTTGTTCAGAGGAGAGAACTCTGTACTTATCTGACTGCCTTTGTGTTTTTATTGAAGATGGAGGATCTGGACCTCCCTGAGATTAAACGGAAAAAGATTGAGGAGAAAAAAGCAGAGGACAAGAAAGAGTTCAAGGGCCTGTTTCAGTCTGACAGTGATGACGACGATGAAGATGACACTGGAGGGTTTAAAATTAGAGGTAAGTCGGACTACTGTTATCACCACACTGTGTGCAACTTTGGCCTATAATGCACTATCGGCGTTGGCCTCCAGGTGGCTCTATTACGTCTTACTCTGTTATTCACCGGAAATCATTGAATTGTTTTGTGTTTGGCTTTGCTTCATTAAAGAAAATTGAGCCTCTCACTGATTAAAACATTTTTATATTTTAACTTTAAAAATTCTGGGTTGATTACGTTTTGTGCCTTGATACTTGTGCAGTAGCAGAATCATCAGAGCAGTTATAGTTTGAACTTGATTTTCAAATTTAAATCTGGTTTAAAAATAATAGGAATAGAAGGGAAAATGTTCTGCTAATCTCAGATTCACAAAGATTAACTCTGATTTAAATAGAAAATAATTCCAACTCTAATCTCACAACAGTGACTGTTTTGTGGCCTTAATCCTCATCGGAGTTTATTAATGTATTCAATCTGTGCGTGTCATTAAACTGATAAAGAGTCTCTGTCAGGCTTTCTCCTTTGACACATACACAACTTTTCCTCTTGTCGATCAGTTTTCTGTGCACATACACAAACAGAGAACAGAGAACCCCTGAACGAGGAAACGAGGTCTGGATCCCAGCAGGAGTTCATGGTTCTAACACACTCTACACTCCTGCTGTCTTTGTCTGTCTTTTCAGCCCACTCCACTTGCTTGCCCTCTCTACACACGATCACACACACACACACACGTACTGTATGTACGTACGTACATGTCTGATATCAGACTCACCACCTCACTGTCCATCCTGAGGAACCAAAGTGTTAAACAGGAGCTCAGCAAAGATGTCTGAGGTCAAATGGTGCCGGAAAAAGCGGGGGTGTAGTGTGAGAGAGAAGGGGGGAGGTGGATGAATTCAACTGGTGCGTATGCCTGCTTGTGTGTGTGTCTGATGTTGTTGCAGCGGAGTCGGTGTGTGTGGGAGTTATCAGTCTGCAGGTCATTGGAGGTCATTCTCTCACATGTTGCTGAAGTCTGTGTCTGTGAACAAGTTTGTCATGTTATTTATAAAGGAAGGATAGTACTAGGTGTGCACAATATTTATAGGCCATTGGAAGCAGAAAGTTATTGGTGCATCCCTTCTCACTATACTATTGTTTTCTGAAAAAGTCTTAAAACATTTAGTAAAAATCCCATAATGAACAGCACAAGTGGGTCTAAAATACTGTATACAGTAATACCTGTGTGGATCCTTATGACTAAAGAGGTCGTGGGGATGTCAGTGACATTGGACTGACAGTGTGGGTTGGACCACTTTTGCCTGCAGAGTGACCAGTGTACTTTTTGTTGTTTTGTTTTTTTGTGGATCCACCTTTATGCAAATGCAAAAATATCTAAAGGTGACACCAAGCAGAGCTCACCTAACACTTGAACTGTGTCTCTTAAGGTAAAAAGAATGGTCATGGGACAGACGACGACGACGATGATGATGACGATGATGCTGATCTGTCTGACTTGAGCGATGATGAGGAAGCAGAGGAAGACTCAGGTTTGTAAACAGCTTTTATTTTCTCTAGAGAAGCAGCTGTTTTGTGTGGTTGGTGCTGATGTTGACTGACAGTGAGCAGCAGCAACAGTGAACATTGTGATCAATGACAGCCACTGTCTGTGTCTCCTTTACATTAAACACTGACAACAGTCGTATGTCTGTCACTCACACAGATGTCAACTAAAAAACATTTTCTCGTAGTCATAAACACACATTCCGACTACTAGTCGCAGCTTTGTTAAGTACTTTGGTTAGTCCTGCGACTTTTATTCAGAACTTACGGTTATATCAAAAATTATATTCTCTTTGGCCACAAGAGGGCACTGTGACAACTGAATATATTTATTGTGCAGCTGAAAAATGACAACTCAAAGAGTGAAGACTGCCGTATGAAACAAATAGTTTTCTTCAATTATTAGTCTTTCATTGAACCATGACCTCAACTATAAAACTCAGGACAGTGATGAACACCAGACAGAAACAGTTAAACTGTATTGAAACGTTCTCCTTACGTGTTACAGATGATGATGATGATGCAGCGTCCAGAGGTCCTCAGCCAATGTCGTCGTCCGCTCTGATAAAGCTGGCGGAGGGAGATGAAGATGTAGTGGAGGACCTGGAGCTCTCTGATGACGACTGAGGTCCAACGTTCCACCAAAGGTCTCCTGAGAACCTCAGATTACTGGGTTTCATTTCTATTCAGCTCTTTGCTTTTTAGTGACTTCTATTGTACAGCTCAAATATGTTTGTGATATAATTTTCTTAAACGGTAAAATTATATTCTGAAAAAATCTGAAGACGGTTTCAGTTCTTTTTTTTTGTCCTGCAGAGACGTTGGATCAGCTGCAGCAGGTTGACACACGACTCAACCTGAACTAATTCATCTGTGTCCTGGCTGTAAGTGCACACCTGTAACCAGTCTCTGGCTCAGTGAGGACAGGACAGGACCGAGCTGGGCTGAACTGGGCCAGACAGAGCCGACCAGTAAGGGAGGGGAGGAGGCAGAGAGACGGGTGTTCTGCCCCGAGGCAGCCGTGTTGTGCCAGACTGGCAGAGTGGCGTCTGATGCCGTGCCAGGATTCTCTGCCCAGGTGGTGGAGCAGCAACACAGACTGGTCTGTGCCTGTGCCAGTTTCCCCCCCTCCATCCCAACACCCACTCAGGTTTGCTTCACTTTTTCTACCCTAACTGCAATTTTCACCAGCTTCTCTAAAAAGAATGAAGACTTATCTTTATATGAATTTTCTGCAGACATAGAAAACCGGTATGACAGTCTAAATGACGTCATAACGAAGAAGAGTTATCTTTGAACTTCTAGAACTATGACTCGTGGATCAAATCTAGTCCCGATCCTAGATCTGCCCCTGAGTCTGAGTGTATGAGGAGGGGTCAGCTGTACCCCACAGGCTGGGAGGCCCTGTACTGCAGGTGAACCTCACACTGATGGCTGGTGTTGACCTGAACTCTGGCCCCCTGGTGGCTGAGCTCTTCCCTCAGCAGTGACACCTGAGGAGAGAAGTCTCTGCTGCAGTCAGGAGAGAAAGTAGAAAACACAGGAGTTTCTTTAGGATTTATTTCACCCAGGTGGTGAATATAAAAATAGGATGAAGACAAAAACATTTTAAGGGAAATCTAGAGACCATTTTTAATCCATTGCTTGTTTAGTTTTTTTTCTTAAAAAATCCATAAAATCAAAACATTTGCATTAAGAGCTTTGTGCCGTTCTTTTCCCTGCAACCAAGAGAGAACCAGGTGACAGTTTTCTTTGGATCTGTCTGAAGAGCTAATTAGAATACATTTCATAATCTGCTTTATGTACTACGTCAAAAGTCCTATAAATATTTTTTTTCCTCGTTTATATGCTGCAATAGCGATTCAAGATTGGAGCGTCTTCCTTTAATATGACACTTAAAAAAAGTATGAACAGAAGTACCCACAAAGTTCAGCAAGTCACATTTTTTTCAGTAAAGAAAACATTATTCGTGCAACTACGTTTAACAAAAAGGTAAAGTACCACGTGTTTAACCTTCAGGATATTTTCATCTTAAGCCGGATTCTGTACAGTTCTGCATGGTGTTCCTACTTCCCACAGTAGTCAACACAAGAAGCGTTCAACGACAAAACCCATCCAAGCCAGAGAGGCTTTTCATTTCACTTTAAAGTCTGCGTGTCAGGAAACGACAGTTTGACCAGTGTCGCCTCGAACAGCGTCCACGGTTTGAGACACTAGCCCACGCTTGGCTGTCGGACCGGTCTTTCTCTGAGAACGTTAATGCAAAACGGAGCAGACACTCTGTGAAACCTGGGTCCAATTCCACACGTCCGCTCATCTTTGGTATCGGAACAGTGGAATGCATAGTTGCAGTGATAAAAGGGAGCTGGTCGGGTCTGGGGCTGCTCAGCGTACGCTTCAACTCCAGGCTAACAAAAAAAAAGAACAAGAGAGAGAGAGAGAGACATAGAGACAGATAGAGAGAGAGAGCTCAGTGCTGCCGTTTGGCTCCACAAACTATGGCAGCAGGGAGAGAAAAGAGTGCAGAGGAGTCTTGTCTTAATTTCTGGTTTCTGCAGGGCTTGTGGTGAGAGTGTAGATAGAGAGACTACAAGTGAGTGAGCAGAGCTTCCTCCAGCCCAGGAAGGAAGGACGAGTTTCCTCCAGCGTCTGACTGTCTGACTTGCAAGAATGTCGCATTTGTGGCAGGGTTTGGCTTTTTTTTCTTCCTTTTTTGGCAGGCGTTCTGTGACCAGCTGTCTCCTTCTCCTCTCTGTCTCCTCTCTTCCTCTGCTGCTTCATGTTTCTCCTTCCAACTGACTTTCTTTGGATTCTGCTGGGCTGCAGTGGAGCTGATTGCTTTACAGGAGACGGTTCAATTCTGTCCAGGTCTCTTTTAATCCAGTCCAACATTTTCCCATAAATTTCAGAAAAAAACACTCCTAGGGTGGGGGAGTCTGATGAATAGGGCCCAGGAGTCAGTGTGTTGTTTCAGTTTCAGCACCTCCTCCCTCCCGCCCGTCTGCTCCTACGAGGGTGTTTTGGCCTCGTACCTCCCCATCACCGTCGATCCGTTTCCGTTTTCCTGCTTTGGGGAGGAGCAGCCGGGAGTGGGGCCGCTGTAGGGAGAGGAGCTGCTGCTGGTGGACGTGGGTCTGTGGGGCAGGGAGAGAGAGAGGGGCGCCGGGGCGTCCGAGGGCGTCGTAAGGGAATCTCGGTCTGTGGGGCGCAGAGAGGCGTAAGGTGGAAACGGGAACGCCAGCGGGAACCCGGTCATGTAGAAGAGCCTGCCGACCCGCCGAGCCACCTGTGGAGACGAGACCATAGGACTGTTAATCATCCTGTGTGTTACAGTGACGGTGTGGAGTGTGTGTTAGTCACAGAGAGAGAGAGAGGTAGAGAGAGGTAGACGGCTGTACACTACAGGACAGGCTTTCATCAGAGAACCAGCTCTGCTACACTGGCTGATATTTGTGGGCCTACAGACAGGAAACACACACACAGTTCACTCTGAGTGATCACTACACACTCCCTCACACACAGGCTGCTCTGTGGTGTGTGTACCTGTGAGCGGATCTTGAGCGCGGGCCCCAGCTTTAGTCCCATGGTGTTGAGCAGGTGCTCCTCAGTGAGCAGCGGTAAAGTCTCTCCGTCAATGGCCTGATCCCGAAACACCTGACGAAGACACAGCCGCTTCAGCCACTGGAGCCAACACACACACACACACACCAACAAGACACACTCCAAACCCACAGCAAACACACTCAACCTACTTTACAGTGACTGTTCCAAAATGATACACACACTTTACCTGACTTCACTGGCCATAATTAGTTGATTCATTGGTTAGTTCTGAGTTATTTACTCAGGTGCTCATGTAGCTGATGTCTTCACCAGGGTTGACACTTCACACCTACAACATCTTGAATCCAGTCCTTTGGAATTTTCCAGTCCTTGTTATATTTTATTTCTATTATTTTTTCCTACTTTAGTCCTGGCGCTGTTAAAATTTCATTCTACCGTCAGTCCACATATTAACAAAACAGATTAAAGGTCGGTTTCATTCTGGAACAGTCCACACACGTCAACCACACGTGATCACACTGCTGCTCAACAACAGTCACACACTGAGCCCACAAATAGAATAGAACTGTCTCATGATCAGCCTGATCCTGACGTCTACCCCCTCGTCTCTCTCCCACTCCCCCCACCCACCCCCGTTACTCACTCACCTGTGTGTATTCAGCACATCCGGCCAGGCTGCTTATGAAGCCGCACACGTCCTCCACACTCCACTTGCTGATGTCCTCCGCAGGGTTTGCCGTGGCCGAGTCCTCCCCATCCATCAGAAGACTTCCCACAGAGCCTGAAAGAGCAGCGGTGGGTGGAAACGGTGGGTAAACCAAGAGCAGCCATTAACAGTCTCTTTATTCTCCGCCACGATTTTAGGGATGGACGGCGCAGACAAGACAGTGGAGAACGTTAGACCGTTCTCTCCTCCTGTTCTCCTTCAACATAATGTTAGATCAGTCTTATGGTACTGTTGACGACAGGTACCAGAATGGATCAAGATGAGCTGTTGATTAAATGTGTGTTTATCCAGTGGTGACTGTGACCTAAAGATAAGGGGAGTGTAACAACATCTGGATCTGTCATTATTGTACATTCAATATTAAAGGTTCATTTCCATGTGTTCAGATGGAGCAGCAGATGTCTTCAGAGGTGTTTACATTACAACACCAGTCTCTCTATGGTTCTGAACAAAACAACTCCCTCCTCTCTCCTTCTCCCTCCTAACCTTGTAGCTGTCCTGCTGGTGTTCACACAGGTCACACTGGGGTCAGAGGCAGGGCCCCTAACAGAGAGAGGTCTCCACACTGGAGACACACCAACACAGGGTGACACTAATGGGTTTCACATGTCAGGTTTCAGACGTGTGTGTGTGTGTGTGTGTGTGTGTGAGAGAGAGAGAGAGAGAGAGAGAGACAGAGAATCAAAACCTGCTGGTGGTGATAGTGTCTCACCTGTGTGAAAGTAGGGGTTGATGTATGGAAATCCAAATGGAAACGGCTGGGTGTGAAGTCCAGGCAGTGGAGGTCCAAACCCAGGAGGGAGGTGGTACTTAACATCAGCCTTGCTGAGTCCAGGAGTGAAAAGATGGCGACTGGGTGACTCTGTGCCTGCTGAGCTGCAGGGGGCGCTCAGCCTGTCTGAGCTCTCTCCAGGCTCCTTGGCAGTGTCACACACTCCTTTGCTGCCAGTCTCCTTACCACCGTCTGTCTCTCTGTCCCTGGGTTTGCTGGTGGACCTGGCAGACATGCTCTCCTGTCTCTCTGAGCACATCTCTGTCTCACTGTCTGAGTCCTTCATCTCCTCATCCTGCAAGTCCCTGTCTCTGTCCCTGTCTCCGTCCCGTCCTCTGCCCTCTCTTTCTCTTGTGTGGTGCCCTGCTCGGAGCTCCATCTGGGGGCCTCTGCGAAGGTGCTTCCTGGATTCAGCCTCCGTCTCAGCAGTGGAGTTCTGTGCCAGGCTGTCTTTTAGAGTAGAGGACGTCCCTGGTTGTTGTTGCTGCTGCTGCTGCTGCTGCTGGTGGTGGTTGAGTGTGAGGAGGGGCGCGGTTGCCCCATGGCGAAGCACCAGCATCGCATTTGAGCGGCGGACCAGTTCCTCGCGGAGAGGGTGGCCCTCTGGAATTTCATGGAGACTCCGCAGGGCCGGATGGTCAGAGGGCAGGCCAGGAGGTAGAGCTCCCAGAGAGTCTGAGCCCAGAAGACGCTGCTGCTGCTGCTGTCGCTGGTGGAGATTCTCTAACTCCTTCTGCCTCAGCAGCTCTGCAGACATCTCAAGTCTAAAGCAGCCAAACACAAAGTAACCAGAACATCCAGGTCAACTGCACATTAGAACACATAGGTGTATGTGTGTGTGTAAGTGACTCCTCTCCACCAATCACACACAAACGAACACACACCTGGCCAGATTCTGTTTTCTCAACATCTCCTGCTGCCGAGCAAAGATCTCAGCTTGAGCTGGTTGGAGGAAACCGTAGCCTAAAATACAAACGACAAAACGACACATTTCAAATCTCTGCACAAACTAAAGACTGTAGATAAGAAAAGGACACAGTCAACCATCGCCTGCAGTGAAGCTGAGGATTAGAATAAAATGCTCCCTGGTCTGGGAAATAAAGTGACTACAGATTTATATAAGTGTGTGGGAAAAGCCTTCTTCTTCTTCTTCTTCTTCTTCTTCATTGTTTGATTTAAAATGTCTCTAAAGCTCTTCTGAGGGGTTTATATTTATGTCCCAATAGACTCAGTTCTTCATTAGAACTCTTCAGAAGTTACAATCCAATTAGAAAAGAAGATCAAGATCAAAGGAAAACAACACATTTAACAGCTCGATTCAAATACGTGGGCAGGTCAAGAAGTTCTGAGACATGTTAGAATTTCAGACTCCACCTGATAAACACATGTAAAGATACTCCTGCTGTCATGAAGTAAATATTAGATTTTAACCAATCATTTTTACAAAGGAGGAAGTGTGTTTACACTTTAACTCTTCTATATAAACGTATTCGTAGGTAATATATAACTTATTTACTCGTTGGTATCACAGTGTGTGTGTGTGTGTGTGTGTGTGTGTGTTTTACTCTGGACTCACCAGGGGCCTGGCAGAGAGCAGAAGGCATGGTCAGGAACGGAGGCCGCAGGTGAGGTCCTAAGGTGATGTGGGGGGCGGTCGGAGGTGAGAGTAAGGGAGGAGGGTGTGAGAGTTCTCTGTGGAGACACACATAAATGAAGACATCTGTACATTAGACTCTTGAAGGAGAACAACCTGAATGAGTGTATGTGGGAGACAGGAGAGTTTAAGGTTTCTTTCGCAGCACAGCACGTGTGTGTGTGTGTGTGTGTCTGTGCGTGTGTGCTCTGCAGCTCTAATGTGCACAGTGTATTTTTATCAGTGGTGCAGCAGAGGCCCCCGTGTTGCCCCGGTGCCTCATCAGTCTTGCCACGCCACAACAACCGCCGCTGGCCATCGCTGTACCCTGGACCACAGCCTTTCCTTCCCCTGTTGCCTCACACACGCACACACACACACTATATATTTATATATATGTATATGTACATCCACACTTGATATACACAACTTCAAACCCACACACATAATGAGAGCTGAACGCACAATGCAAGTGTGTCATGCTCCGACAGCTGGGGCGGCCCCCGTGTCTTGACCGGGGCCAGGGGCTGAAGGACCTTCTAATTAACACTCATCCCTTCTCTCCTTTTTTACACCCTTC